GTCAAGATTTTTTATTATTGAACGTTAAAGGTTACTTACATCCTCTAAATTATAGAGCAGTCTTCTATATAACATTTTGTTTATTTTTTTTACCTATCAAAATATAAAATTTATGATAATTTTAAGCTACAATTTTTCGATTTCAATTAAATTTATGATGAATCTATTGAGTTATCCTGAAAATATAATGCAGGATTTTTAGTTTTCTTTAAAATGCCCCTCTAGATAAAAAACTGTCTACATTTTCTGGATTATTTATTTGTAATAATGTCAATATTTATTAATCCTCTTTCAAAGGATAATGTTTGTTTACATTTGTAGCATTTTGCTGCTTAGAAATAATTCAGTCTTTACTAAGATGTCAACGCGTGATTTTCGTATAATTTTGTTTTGCCAGCTTAAACTCGGCCGCAACGAGCTAAGAGGCCAGAAATATTAATGAAGTCAGGGGCGAGAGCAGTCTTAATGAGGACATTCTTCAATAGTGGTTCAAAAAATGTCAGGAGGAAGACTACAATCTTGAAGACAGGAAAGGTCGTGGAAGGACTTCCTCTCTTGATGACGATGTTCGGCGGGCTTTGGTGGAAGAAAACTCCAAAACAACTGTTTTGGAGAACTTACAGGGAACTTAAACCTTAGGAAATCGACGGCCGATGAACACCTCAAGGCGATTGAAATGATAAAAAAGCTTGTAGGTTGGATCCCACACTCATTAAACGACGTCGAAAAACAACACCATTGTTATGAAGTTTCTGCTACACTTCTTTGATAATACAATAACGACCATTTTCTGTACTGAATTGTTACTTTTGATAAAAAGTTTAAGATAACGGTTGTACTTTAAGATAACAATAATAGACGTCCTGGACAGTGGCTCGACAATGGAGAAACAGCAGAACATTTTCTAAATCTCCCAACTCATCAAAAAAAGGTGTTGGTTATTGTTTGGTGGACTTCATTTTATACACCACAGCCTCTTAAATCCTGGAGAAACCATTAACACCGAATCGTATTGTAACCAAATTAGTGCAATGCATCTGAAATTGGCTATAATGAAGCCATCTTTAGTCAATCGGAAGAGACCTATTTTGTTGTGTAACAACGAAGGGTCATTGTGTGAAGTCAAAAAATGTTGGATATGAAACTCTCCGAACCTCTCCCCTACGGATTATAATTTTTTAAGACACCTGGATCACTAATCAGCTGACAAAAATTTAATGGACAATGGGAATTAGAATATGCGTTTTAAAGTTTATCAACTCCAAAGGAAAAAGGGAAGGAAAAGTCACCAACATATTGGCAGAAATGTATTAATAGCAGTAAAGACTATTTTGATTAAATGAAGCATTTGTATTTTTTGCTTTTTTCTTTTTAAACCAAAATCCTGCATTGTTTTACGAATAAACCAATATATCGAAAAATATTAAATATTATCATGTACTTAGCAAGCACTGGTAGAATTGGAAGAAGAGCTGCTGAGGAAAGGTATGCAAATAAATGCCTCCAAAAGTAAAGTGATGATTATGGCGAGAGAAGAAGAGGAAGACGCCCAATTGGTTTGCAACGGAGAAATTCTTGAGGTGGTAAAGGAGTACACATACTTAAGTACCATAATAGCTAACACTGGTAAGATAGATGCTGAGATTTCGTATAGAATATCTAAGGCGAATCAAGTATATCACCAGATCGCTAGCAGTATCCTCAGCTGCCGTGAAGTGGATAATAATACCAAGATGCACGTCTATAAGTCTGTATACCTTCCTATTCTCACCTACGGCGGAGAAAGTTAGACTATGTTGGACAAACATTATAGTCGCATAACAGCAGCGGAAATGCGATTCCTACGTAGATCGGTGGGCAAAACTAGGTGGGATCGCATTAGAAATGAAACTATCAGAGAACAGCTGGAAGTGCCTGAACTCAAAACTACCTTAGAGAACAGGCAATTAAGGTGGTTTGGACATGTCTGGCGCATGAACGAGGACATGGATCCTATAAAGATATTAGAGGCTCAACCCACATGGAAGAGGCCACGAGTGCGTCCCAGAGTCTCATATCAGGAGTTCATGCAGAGGATCGGAGGTAGAAGAGGCAAATCCTTCAACCAAATGAAGCGGTTAAGCAGAGACCGGGAAGGGTTGCTTTGGATAGAGGCTCCTCGACGCTAGATGACATTGTGAGGAAGACAAAGAAGAAGAAGTACTTAGCAATTAAAAAAAATATTTTTTATAATTTCAATTATATTTTATATTATTGTTTGTTTTTTCTCATTAACTGATTTCCAGATTAAAGAACATCTACATCTAGCAATTAACTATTTTTTTAGTTAATAATTGATTTATTTATTATTAAATGGTTGTTTTTCATTATTACAATCAAAGTTTATTATATTTAGATCAAATTATTACCTCCTGAGAGAAGCATCCAACACATATTAATATATGTAAAAGCGGAGAAATAAACGACGTCAGCCAAATCACATCTATTATGCTCAGTGTTTCGAGTCCAAGCGTCACACCATACATATTGAAAAGGACAAGGAGGTAAAAGAAGAAAATATAACAAAGTATTTGTGGTTCATAAAAGGTATTCACCTTTTGACAAGCATTTAATATTTTATCAGCCAACCTAATAACTGCTTCACTTTCTTCTATCGTCCTTATTTTCCTAATTATTGACAGTAACACTTGTATCAAAATTGCGTACTGATTCATTACTGAGATTACAGCAGCATATATAACGTTGAACGCTCGTTCTTCTAGATATTGATATGGTCCAAATATCTCCCACAAGATATAACTAAGAAACAATGCAGATGCACAGAAGTACTTTGTACACCATGCTGGTTTGTAAAACCAACAAATACCACTCTTCCATAACGTATATTCTATGCCCTTTAGTTCATCGAACAATGCTTTAAAGAGTGACTTGTTCCTTATCAACCAAACTAAGTGTATCCAATAAAACATTGTGGCTGGTATGATTTGAAGTGCATACGTAACCTTCTCAGAAAGTAAAAATTCTTCAGATATTATAAATTTATATAAGGCCAGCATTCCTAAAATGTCTGCCAAAAGATACAGCACAATACATTTGGCGATATTAAATTTCGAGATGTCTGAATATTCGTAGTCAATCGGGAAGGTACTGATGACTCTTGAGAACTTGAAGACGTCTTTAAGAACAAGTTCTACCTTACCGATGGTGGGATGGCAGGGTATCATATTTTTTTCAGATATAATCGGCAAACCGTCGACGCAGTGAACTCCTGCATAAGACTGGACTGAAGGAGAATTATTAAGAAATGAAATAGTGATCGATGAAGGTCATGTTTTTACAAGAAATGAAACGAAACCTTTCAATGAGCTTCACATATACTTAGTAGAGCTGTCGTGAATAAACTACTTTTCATTGATTTCTAAATTCTATGTTTTCCTTCAATGTTTTATGTTACTATATCTCTATGTTCTATACTGTTTTAACGAAAATTATATTTTCATTTGTTTTATTTATTTTAGGTACTCCTGAACACGTGGTATTCCAATGCTATGTGCCACTATGTCAATCCTCCAACATGCGTTTAGAAATTACTCCTCTAGATAATACTAAATATTGAAAGAAGAATACTGATATGAATCATCAGAAATAACTTGAACACATATCTAGCCCACTTTCCAGGTAGTTCTCCCTTACCAGTACCTGTATCAGTACCTGATTGCTTAACAATATTATATAGAAAGATGAGTGTATTATAAGCAGGGTTCTCAAAGCCTGGTTCGCCAAGGAGAAAAAAAATCTGGTGCACTCAACACACAACTTTCACTTACCGCTCTACTTTGAATATAAATTATTTTCTGGCAATGCTGGGCTATTATAAAATGTTTGAAGTACATTTTGAAGGTACTTTAGAGGAAGGCGCATATGAACATTGTGCATTTTTTATTAAATATTTCATCTATAATTATCCAGTAGCATCTCGAGTAATTTTTACTCCAAAACATAGCAACTATAATGCCATTCCTTTTGTGGAGACAAAACATAGCAATCTTCAATAAGAAACATCAACTTTATATAAAATTTGTTTATTTATATATTGTACATTAGATGAATAAAGACAACCTAAAATTGAAGAAACGTATAAAAAAAAATAATACATTAAACATCTTCGAACTTCAAAACGTATTCTTCTTTGGAATGTCTCTTACATGTACTGCACGAAAAAAACTAAATAGTTTGTTCCAGTTGTTATCATCTGAAACAAATAAATTGTCTTTGAAATAAACAATTATTTAAAGCAATGTATTTGGTATATTTTGGAACACATAGGCTACCAATAAAAGTGAGGTATTTTTTAATATATTGTTATATGCTCATTTTATTCGCCTTAACATCTTAATTATATAAACCGGGTACAGTTCACGCATTTCAGCGTTGTTTAACCGCCTGAATCTACCGGTTGATTCGTGTATAATAATTTAATTTTCAAAAAATTTATTTTAATTAGATTAATATCAATAATATTTTATAGTTGTAAATAATATTTTGATTTTGACATTAAAAATCAATTTATAGTTTTCACTTTTCTTATGTTTTTCTTCTCTCTTTCTTTTTTCTTCTATTTTTAATTTTTTTTTCCGTTGATGATTGGATTTTATTAATGTAGTTTTTGGTCAGTTATATTTTCTATTTATTTGTTTCCAGGTAACTGCATATGGTTTAATCGCATCTTTGTGTATTCGATCTATCCTTCTAGGGTTTGGCCTTCTACGTGGTTTCTGGACTACTATTGAGGCATTCATTATTATGTGGACGCAATTATTTATTGGTCTTTCTCATGCATGCCTGTTCTATACGTTATCGTACGAACGATTTTTCTCTCGAATCTTTCAATACTTGTTTCTACAGAACTGGTTTGAAGCAACCTAGTTACGCGATTAAATTCTTACCACCTCCATTATTATTATAAATGGATAAAAATTAAGAAATAAAAAGGCTCTTACCGTACAAACCAGAGTATTCTCGAGAGTAAAAAATCCACCGGCAGTAAAAACGATTTCTCTTTTAGCTACCAAATGGAATTGTAATGTTTCCTAAAATAAGAAAAAATCGTATTGAAAAAGATCATTATAAATGTCAAAAGTTATTTTATAGACTTACGTCATCTAAGTTATTGAGTAATCTTCGATACAACATTCTGTTTGTTTTCTTAATCTGTAAAAAAAACAAAAACTATAATGATCATTGTCAGCTAGGAACTGATATTAGTACAGAGTAGTTTAAAAAAGAATATTTAATCTACAATATGTAATAATAAAATAAAAAACCATTATTCAGATAACATTTCGCGAAATATTTTTATAGTGCACTAGACATTTAGAATTATAATAAAGACGCAGAGTGAACTGATACAATATTATTATTTGGAGTCTTAGCTTCAATTGGTATTCTCACTGAAAAAACCATCCGTTAACTTGTACAGCTATACATTATGACAAAATATGAATATTCTAATAGATAGTAAAACACTTCCTTGCATTTTTGGGTGACCAAGAACAGAATTTTCTTTTCACACTCCTGCACAAATTATCGTAACTAATTAGTCATTAGTAATTTATTAGATAAATTTTATTTAATTATTGAAAGTTTGACTATATAAGTGATAATAGATGATCCCTAGGGAGTCCCTTATTAATATTCTCGGCCAATAACGCAAAGCTCTCCAACATCAACAAATAGTTCCTCGAGAGGAATCTCCTTGTCCTTTTTGGGATTGTCCCGCGAGACCCAAACCAGAGGCCTGTCACGGTGAACTCTCTCTCTCCGAAGGTCTTGCGGAATTCCTCTTTTAGAAAAGGAATACATTTGTCGTATATGTTCATCCGTTCCCTTTCTACTTCACCTCCCCCCCTGATCGAGGTCATTCCTCTCAAAGCGAAAAGTTGGATCCAAGAATAGCGCTGTCACTCCTGTTCTGGAAAATGCGACAATATCCGCATACCTTGTAAGGCCTTCACTGTCGATGCAATTAACTTCGTCAAAGCAGATGAATCATTTTCTCAATTATTCACTCAATTATTTTCTCGATTTCTCACTTCGAACTTGTTGTTGTTGTTGAGGCATTTTCCCAGTACATGGACTGGTGTAGAATCTCATTTACGACAGAAGGAACCAACTTCCTTCAAATGTCCACTGACTTCTGAGACTCCACGTAAAGGTGCGTAATTGATGTTTAGTTTTAAGGCGTTGGATCATTCTTACCCCAAAAGCACTTGCTTCTGGCATATGTATTTATTGGCTATCGTGGTCTCGTGGTGATATCCACTTTGTTAACAGAATTGCAGCTACCAACAATAAAACAATACATTTATTTTAAAACACAGAGATTCTTTCAGGTTATATTATTTGATAACCCAATGTCCAAACAATAGAAAACTATGGAAAGAAATCACTGAAACGGTACACACACAGACGGATAACACTCATACTCCTAAAATGACAAAACGCAACTTCATAACATAATAAATATAGATGAATAAGCAGCAACATACTTCCTATACCAATTATTGAATAATAATTTATAAGATATAAAATATGTGTATAGTTTTCAATTGTTTATACACTTTAATGACAGCATATAGTTTTTATGTTATTTATTCATTTTTATAGCTTATATTGGATTTTTTCTACTGCATAAAATAGATTTCACCATACAAAACAGCAATCACAACACTTTATTATAACATGTGTAAGGTAATGTTGCCATAAGCATATATAGTCCGTGGTACAGACCCCTTTTTATAAAATTATTGATATACTTCGCTAAAAAAAATTCATCTCATCGTAGCCTACAAAAATTTGATTTACGAAAATTCTTTGAATTGGGGCGTTTTCAATCTGGAGGTCGGCAAACTTTGTCTATTTAATTAGGTAATAAAAACCCGTAAATACTCATTTACTTTCCATTAGGATCGTAAGATAACTTGAGCATAAAGTCGAGAAAAAAGGTGGCCTTGAAAAAAATACTGAGCCATTTGGTGTGACCTACACCACCAAATTGTCAAAATAACGAGGTTATATAGGCCCAATCCTTTTGTAGGCTACCTTTTTTATCAATTATGTGATCAAATTATCTTACGATCCAAGTAGAAAGCAAATAGGTATTTATAAGTTTTTAAAATCTAATTAAATAGACAAATTTTACCGATCTCCAGATTGAAAACGCACCAATTCGAGAATTTTCGTAAATAAAATAGTTGTACGCTACGATGAGATGAAGTTATTTACGAAGTTTCAACCGGATGTTAATAATTGGATAAAAAAAGGATCTGTACCACGGGACTAGTAACCATTATTATGATTTATTGTGTTGTATATACACTGACCGGCAAAAAATTCCACCTACTAGATTTTTTCATGTTTTCATCTAAAAATATTTTTGCTTTGGATTGGTCAATTGTTTTTAATGAATAAATAGGTAATCTTTTTATTTGTTTTCAATTATGAATGTTAATACAGAGGACAATAACCCTTAAATCTTATTTAAATGAAATGATTCTAGATTCCAATGTTTACTTTCTATGGAATCAAAACGTTTATTCAGTGTCATTAGTTCAGTGTCATTTCTTGCAGCACATTTCTTAGTCTCCGGCTTTTAATTTTTTCAATATTAAGTTTAAAAATGCCTCTTAGTGCTGAGGTTGTTGCGCGTGGTGTGGCACTTATTGATGATGAACTTTCCATTAGATATGCAGCTAATGCCATCGGAGTTCCATATGAAACTTTACGAGACGCCGTCAGGCGTTTTCGGCAAACTGGTTCTTACAATAGAATGTCCGGTTCTGGACGGCCTAGGGTAACAGGATTTTGACTTTGAGAATTTTACGAAACCGGCACCTTACCGTTGATCAAGCGATTCTTCATCTCGAAGAAGTTCGAGGTGAGCAAATTTCTGAACGTACCGTTCGGAGAAGATTAAATGAGTATGGATTAATGGCTTTTCGTCCAGTAAGAGGACCAGAGTTGACCGGAACCCACAGAGTAATACGGCTGGCTTTTGTTCGAGAACACAGCCATTGGACTATGGACGAATGGAGTGCTGTACTTTTTACAGATCAGTCAAGATTCGCTCTTCGATCTCCAGAAGAGCGTGAAAGGGTGTGGAGAAGAAGAAACGAAAGATATGCAGTCTGTGATTTTTCCCAGAGTAATTTTTCCAGAGTAATTTTTCCACCTATCCAACGTGCTTCTTTAAAGGTGTGGACAAATGGTGGAATTTTTTGTCTGTCAGTGTATGTGAATAAATAAAATAATTTTTTGAATGTTAGTTAGCGTTATTAAGCACTTAGTTTATTATAATTTTTTATTAAACAAATCATCACCTCATGAGAAAATGATTCAATACACAATAACGTCTGAACAAGAGGAGAAAGGAACGACATTAGCCATATTATATCTAATATCTTGTTATCAATTTCAAGCGTCAGACCGTAAACGTTGAAAAGTATGATAAGGTATATGACGACAATGTACAAAATAATCTGAGGTTCATAGAATATATTGACTTTTTGACAAATATTGAGAAGCTTATCGGTCAATTTGATAACCATTTTACTCTCTTCTATCGTCCTTATATCCCTGAGCATGGACAGCAATACTTGAACTAAAATCGTATACTGATTCATAACTGAGATCAGAGCTGCGTAGATTACGTTGTACGGTCGCTCATCTAGATTCAGTTTGCCTACAGATACATCCCACAAAATACTAGTAATAATCATGACTGCTATGCCGAGATATTTGGAACTCCATTTTGGCTTGTAAAACCAATAAATACCTCTCTTCCACATTTGATATTCAATATCCTTCAACTCATCGTACACTTGCTTTAAAAGCCTCTTGTTCCTCACCAACCAAACGAAGTGTGTCCAATAAAACATTATTGCTGGTACGACTTGAAGTGCATACACAATTTTTCTAGCCAAAAAAATATTGTCAAATACCAACATGATTATTGATAACATTGCAAGAGCGTCCATCACAAGATGAATAATAATGCTTTTGGCAAAATTCCATTTCGAGATATCTGAATATTCGTAGTCAATGGGGAATGTTCCGATGATTCTGGAGAACTTGAAGACATCATTAAGAACCTGATCTACCTTACCGATGGTTGGCTGGCAAAGCGTTAAAGATATCATACTACTTTTATACTTATGTCGTAGTCGAAAGAACTTCACTGAAAGACACTCTTTGATAAACTGATCGGACGGAGAAACGGCTAAAATAGACACTTATCGATTTGAGATTGTTTTGAAAGAAAATATAATAACCTATTTCCATGATCCTGTACACATTACCGATGGCTCCAATAGTTTTTTTTTTAGCGAATTATTGATTTACTACGTGTTGTTTGCTTTATTATAAATCATATTTATCTTTGAATTAACCAGATTAAATTTTTCTGACAAAAAAGTAAAATAAATTGTGGATGTAAAACGTATAAAATTCAAAAAAGTTTTGTAATAGTTGATCCTAATTTTACATTGACTTTTTATTAATCCTAAAGTACTTTCTATAATCTATCTGTTATATAAGCGAATCAATGTATTTTAAAATGTATTACATATGTATTTAATATAAATAATAAAAAAATAAAATAAAAAAAAAACGACTAAGTATCCTCCGAGAAATTCCGAAACATCCAAAAGATCCTGTGAGAAGAGGTGTGATAGGAATCCGACTAATACACCAAGTTTAAATAATTTTTTTATATATATATATATATATATATATATATATAAGTTAAGCGTCGTCGGACTTAAGAAATAAAAAAAAAGAAGGAAAAGGGAAAAGATGTAACATACACGACTTCTGAAATAACACTGCTTTATTCGTTCCATAAGCCTCCTTATATACACTTAGCCTGTTTATTTACATTACCAGATAGTATTAAGGCTGATACCGCCAGTCTCCGGTCTTTATCTCCCCCCCACCAGTTTACGAACAGGATTTTCGGAAACTTAAATATTGCTAGATCGGAGCCCACGGTGACCAGCCTTAACACTTTACAATTGGTTTTACAGTATATCCTTAAAAGAAAATAAAATAGTTCCACTCAACTGGAAAAATAATAAATAAAGAAAAATAATTAAAAACACTGAAACTAAACACAGCACTTTAGAACTCCTACCACTTGAGAACTCCTAACAACAACAAAAAAAACACAATTTCCTCTATACATGAAATAATACAACAAAAAAAAAATTTTTTACAACTTGTTTTGTTTTGACAGCCACAAAAAACATATTTCTCTGTTTTATATACAGCGGTGAGGGTACTACGAATCCGTAGGTCTATGTCCCGACTCTATCATTGGGAGCTTTAATTGTTCGATATGAACGGTTCTCCTCTTTCTGGGCTCATTCACGCTCTCAATAGTTACCAGGTTATGCTCCCTAAGAACAACCACTCTGAATGGACCCTCGTACCGTAGCAATTGTTTCCCTCTGTTGGTTCCCAATTTCCGGTAAACTATTGTTCCTATTTTTAGTTCCCCCATTTGGTCGCGTACCTGTACATTCTGCCTTTCCACCCGCTTCCGCTTTTCCCGCTTAATTCTCGCCGTTATCTTTCCCCATGTTTTCTCTACCTCTACCCTATTGCTGAGAATTTGATCCACTAACGGTTCGGTAAGCGTAGTTTCCCCATAATCCCGCCTTGGCCTGCGCATCCCGAATAGAACTTCCATGGGTGAAAACCCCGTTACGGAGTGGATCGAGTGGTTATAGGCTGTTACCGCTTTCCTCATTGCCACATCTGGCTCCAACCCTTTTTCACCCTGATATACACGGACGTGGTCGCTT